CTTCATATCTGTCTTTCTCTCTGTCTGTCTGGCGAGCGCACGCGCCCTATAGCAAAAACCTCTCAAAAAAAAAAAAAGAAAAAAGAATATGGAGTGTTGGAGGGAGCAGGTGGCGTGGCAGTTAAGGCACCGAGCTCCCACTCTGCTGACCACGGTTCTAGCTCTGAACCTGGTGACTTGAAACTCACCAGGTGTGTGTGTATGCATGCCCAAAGTCCCAGGAGGAGAATGAAGGAGAAGGGATTGTGTCATGGCCGCCCTCCCAGGGGGGTGATTTCTCCCTCTCCCTCTCTGTCTCCTCCGTGAGAGCGCATGTGCCCTAGGGCAGATACCTAAAGAAAGGAAGTGGGAAGTGGTGATCCTCACTCACCCTCGCCTCATTTTCTGGACAGAGCAGATCTGAGACTTAGGTAAGGGTTTTCAGCAGAGACGTCGAAGACTGCTCGGTGGCCACGTCCAGCCGGGTCCTGTGCATTCGCACCGCCAGCCCCTTTGGGGGACCCTGGCATAGTGGGCGTCTGTGCCCTGCGCCCTCGCAGGGGTGGGGTGCAGTTCCTGTGAATGCCCATTCTGATTGCCTTTTATTCATTTCTTCTTAGAGTGGAAATGTCGCCTGTTCATAATGGATTATTGATTGGTCTGAGAACAGCCGCAGCCTCCAGGCCTTGTCGTCGGCCACGCTTACTCCGGCACTGAATGCGTCACTTCATGCAGGGATTCGGAACCGGGCTGGGGACTATAGGCCTGCGATTGTTAATCTTGTACAGAACGGCTCGCAGGGAGAGGGACGCTTCATTGTCGTTAGGGAATTTCCCCATTTGTCCAGAGAATAGGCTTTTTGTCTCAGTAGTAAGATAAGCTTGTCCAGGATGTTAATGATGTATTTAATTCATGCCTCGTAATACTACAGTGTAACTAGTGAAGCCGGATTCATTGTCTTCCGAGAACAGACAGACACAGTTTAGCACACGGACCACGGAGGCACCCACTCGCCCCTGCAGGGGATCTGGCAGACCCCGTGGCGGGGGCAGAGTGGGAGTGTACCCTTTAGAACGGCTCCGGGAGGAGGGAGCTGCTCCGAGTTCCCGGCTTGCATTTTGGGGCTGCCGTACTCCCTCGCGGACAGCCCTGGACTGTCCGAAGCATTCTGCCTGCTTGGAGACATTTTTACATTTATTTTTTGGGGCCATGCCCCCACCAGTTCTTCAGAGTTCCTTGCTGCCGCCCTCTCCTTTGCCCTGTCTCAGGCCCGTGTTGGGGGGGCCCCCCCCCCCGACGCTGTCTCGGCTGCTCCTGGGCCCTGCCTGGCTGACTTAGTGTCCCTGCATGCCCAGGCTCCCCTCCCCTGGAAGGTGATGAGGGGGTGAAGCCACGTGGCCTGGAGGAGGCCAGGGCTGTTTCTATTATCATGGGGCCAATTACTGAGCCAGAACTGAACAGAAAGCCGAATCGGTGTCTCCTTAGGAACAGCGCACGCTCGTCGGTGTCCAGAGCCGGCATGTCCCTGGCCACAGCACTTTCGTTCTCCAGCAGCCCCTCTGCTTGGCCTCGGGGCCCGGGGTCCGCTTCCAGGTCTGGCTCTGGTGGGCTCCGTCTGACTTCGACAGCTGCATTGTTTAGGGTGTGGGCATGTTTGGAAGTCAGCTTGCTGACCCTGCTCAGGGTAAGAGCGTCCCCGGGAGAGCCCGCTTTGATGGCTTTGGGGATATTGACGCAAGAACCTTCAGTGTTCCTTTCATGCTGGTTGAAGTCCCAGAGCAGAAAGTGGCCAGATTTCCTGTCATTTCAGGGACATGCTTGTTATTTAAAAATGTAAGCTATTGCACATTTTTATTCTGATAGTGTCCTATTTAACTGGCCAGAAAATACTGTTTAAGATACGAGGAGGAAGCCTCCTGCATTGTAGCTCTTTGCCCCCTGGAGGGCTGCAGAGAGAGCTGTGCTGCCCTGGCTCTGGGTGGCGGCAGGTCTATGACCCACCTGTGGTCTGGGAGGGCGCTGGGTGGCTTCTAGAACGTCAGAAGGCCGTCTCCATCGGTGGAATACGCTTCCGTCTGCACAGAATGCGGTTCACAAGCTTCTCCCTTCTGACTTTGTTTTGAAAAGTGGCATTAACAGAAGGAAATTTCCCAAGTGTCTGTCCTGAGGGCCCTGTGGGCTGGGGAGGGGCAGGCTGGCAGGCCACCGGGTCCCCCAGCGGCTCTGCTTTCACTGTTACTGGGCTGTGGGTGCGAATTATTATTTTAAACAACTTTTTCTGTAAAAACTCCCCAAACTCATAAGAATGAGCGTAACGTGAACATATGCAGGGCTGCTGGAAAGGCAGTCGTAGCATCTCGGGGTGCGCCTCCTCTCTTTCTCTTGTTGTAAATCACCCCTAAATGTGTGCATGTCTTCAGAAAAGTAAGAAAGTTTCTCTGTATTACTAGTTAACAAAAATAATAGTAATTTGTTCTTTTTTTTAAGAGAGTTTGCTATGGGTACATGTGCTTGCCAGAGAGACGGAGAAAGTGAGAAATCACCCCAGGGGTGTCCACGCCACAGTCACTTCTCCTCCATTCTCCTCTCAGGATTTTAGGCATGCAGGCACATGTGCCCAGCATAAGTTGTAAGCTGCTGGGTCCAGGACTCGAACTGCAGTCAAGTGAGTACATGGGAGTCCAGCGACATGGCTGTTATGTCATCTGCTGGTCCCTTGATAGTAATTTTCAAATATCAGCTAATAGTCCTTTTTTAATGTTATTTATTTATTTATTTACTTTTTATTTTTTGGTTGTAAGGGTGTGTGTGCTTGACAGAAAGAGATAAGAGACAGAGAGACAGGAAGAGTAAGAAATCCCCCCGCCTTGGAGGATGGCCAGACTGCAGTCCCTTCTCCAGTTTTCTCCTAGGAGTTTTGGGCATGCATACATGCATCTGGTGCGATTATTAAGCCACCGGGTCAGGGACTCAAACCACAGGAGGCCAGGAGGGAGTCCAGTGCCTTAATTACCACGCCATCTGCTGGCCCTGTCCTTTTGTTTTATCTCTGCTGTAGGGTGCTGCTCTTGCTGGAGAGAGACACAGTGCAAGGGAGAGAAAGTGAGAAATCACCACCAGGGGGAGGCCACGGTGCAGTCCCTGCTCCTCACTCTGTGGGGTTTCGAGCACGCAGACTTGCATCCAGCGAGCGCCTCAAGCTGTCAGGTCTGGGACTTGAAGTGTGCAGTTAGCCATGTGAGATTCAGTGCCTTAAGCTCTGTGCCACCTGCTGGCCCTGTCATCCAGTCTTTCTAAAGTTAGATTATAGAACTAATGCTGGAAGGTACCCGTGTTTGCCAGAGACAGACACAGACAGACAGAAAGAGGGAAAGCAACCCCTGTGGGGTCTGGTCATACCACGCCCCTTCTGTCTCTCCTTCCTTTCGGGATTTTCGGCATATGTGCACATGCACCTGGCATGTTTCTCAGGCTGCTGATCTAGGACTCAACTTGTGGTCAGCCGTGTGGGATCCAGCCACCTTAACCGCCAGGCCATTGGTTGGTGAAGTTAAATGTTTCAGGGAGCTCTGTGTAGGCCGTGTCTGTTGTAGGTGACTGTAGTTGTTGGTGAAAAAATTGGGAATTGTATCATTTAACTTGTGATAGAACTTGTAAAGGGCCAGCGAGTACATAGGTGTTGCTATTTAGCTTTTTAAAATTTAGCAGTCTAAACTGCTATTATTTTGTCCTTTTGAATTTGTTCAACCAAATATTGTCACTGCTGGTGACTAGGTGTCTTTGGCTGCTGCGCCAACTCGGTCACTTACTCAGTAATTAGTTCTTAATATCTATGAAGCACTGGCTAGCTACTGAATCGAACCATGCACGCACCAATTTAAGTCTCATAAAAGTTTCCTAATGTAGACATCACTACTGTCACTCACAGTTAAAGATGAAGAGGTAGGTCAAGGAACAGAGAGGTTTAGGTGCTCCTCAAGGTCACACATATCTGCGCTAGTGGTAGGATTGGGTTTTGACCCCAGGTTGTCTGAGGGTCTCCCATGGGACACTGAGGTAAGGGGACCAGAGAAGCGGGTAGGATGAGCTTCCTGACTGCGGGCGGGAAGGCAGGGGGAGAGAAAAGGAGCATAGGAAGTGGGGGCATGCTGGGGCCAGGGGCTCAGGCCCTGTCAGCTGAGTGGAGTCCGAGCTTTGTCTTAGCCGCAGAGCCGGGAAGCAGTGGAGGCTCTCGAGGGACCAGCTGTGCACAGGGCCATGAGTGTGGCTGCGGATGTGGGTCCAGCAGTGAATGGAGGTGCAGCCCCAGGCCTCGGGACAGGAGCGGCTGGGTGGACCTGGTGCTGGGACTGGGTCCCTGCAGGGGCCAGGCCTCAGGCTCCCTGTGGAGGCCCCACCAACCCTGCAGGTGCAGCGGTTGCGTTCCCCCTGCCTTCTGGAAGTGTCTGCGAGTCCCGCGTTGCATTGCCTGCACCCAGGTGTGCCTGGACGTCTCCATGCCGCGCCCACTCTGAGCTTCGAGAGCCTATTCCTTCCAGCCAGGGCCTTAGTGCCTGGGACGTTGACTGCTTCTGGTCGCGAGCCCTGGGTGACCCTGGGGAGCCTCTTGGAACGTGCGTCTGGGGTGCACTGTGTGGCCTCCGTGACCCCTTTGCTCCAGGTGCCCCGTTGACTGTCCGGGCAGTCACCCTGGCCTGCTCCATCCTGGCTCACAGCTGCACCCTGCTTGCTCCTAGGCATCCCAGCAGCGCCGAGACGAGCTCTGGCACACGTCTCCCCGCACACGTGCGTTCTAGGAGGTACTTCAGTCAGACCTCACTCCCCGGGTCCTCACCTACAGAAGGGAGTGTGAGTTCTGATGTTGCGCACTGAGTGTGGTTATCCTGGAGCCTGGGAGTGCGAGTGTCAGGCAGTCGCCGGCCTCGGCTGTGCTCTCTGGACAGGTGGAAAGACGGACGAGCAGAGAGGCAAGGCGGGGTGCGGCGGCCGCGTGTGGACGCACGCATTTGTTGGTGGGTGGGAGAGTCGTAGCTATTTTTCCATGTTTCTTCTATGTACAAATGCGTCATGACTGTCCCAGCAACCTAAGAGGTCGGATGCTTAATCCGTGTGTGTTTCCACGCTTATTTTTCACAGTGCCGCTACACACTTTATTTTCAGCTTTCATATTCTGTACTCTTTCCACTCCCTATCTTCACTAAAACGCACTTTCTATACTCTGAATTCAGTTTTTTCTATAATAAACATTTTACTTTTTTTTTCTTTATAAAAAATGTGATTAAATGTCCTAACTTCTTCAAAATGAGATGGAGTGCTTATTTCAAAATTAGTGAGGTATTTTTAAAAGGCAGCTTAACCATTCATTACGTCTTCAGAGAAACTCTCCCACACACTCAGAACAAGAAATCCATGGGACATCTTTTTTAAAACCCTGATCGGCAAGTCATGTTTTTGCCTAAACAATTAAATTACAGTCTCGCCTGGCAAGTTCCCAGTTTCAGCCCTGGAAAAAGTTTGTAGTGCATCTCACAGTAACGCCAGGCTGCCGCCCACCCCGCCGGCTGCGTTCAGGCTGTCCTGCGCCACCCTGAGCCCCGATGGCGCCCCCGCTTTGCCCTGCTATTTGGGGAGCTGCGGGACTTTGGTCCCTCTGGCGAGGGTGACAAGCTGGCACTGACACGCGTGAGGAGACCAGTTAGCAGCAGGCCTGTGTTTAGGAAGGTGGAGCACCGGCTTGCATTTGGCGTGTTTGTTTGAGAAGGTAAGCCGGGGCCACCCAGCACGCACCCTTTGGCTGACTGAGTGTGAGAACATTCGTTCCAGGGAGTAGCCCCTCTCAGAGCTACT